CCTGCCACTGAGTGCGAATCACCTCAAGAGCCCTGTGGTATAGACAGAATTGTGAGAGGGTGATGTGTCTGGGCACCGCCAAGCCCAGCACGGGGCGTGCAGGGGACATCTGGAGAAGGTTATGCTCTGATGCCGTGACCCTCTGCCAGGCAGAAGCCCTGGATTCCCCTGAACTCCCCGAGACCGCCAAGAAATGTCTTCCCGGAAAGCTTTGCCACTCTATTCGGATGTTGAGGGTATTTGGGAGACAAAGACAGCCTTTTCTGCCTGCTTTTGTTAACCCCTCTACGTAAGAGAACTTCCGTGTGGAGCTGGTATCCAGCCAGGGCAGGAGACTGAGTTATACACATGCCCTCCATTTGAGGGGGTGGGGGACAGTTTTTCGTCTGCCCAGACACTTGAGTCTAAAATACATGTTTTGTTGCATGTCACTTTGGACGGCAGGTAAAGGATGTTCCCAAATGATTTCACCAAATGCAGTTTTACGCACAGGTCACCATATTGTTGATTTCACATGGTTTTTTATATACACAGACCTCCCAAGGGGTCCTCCAAATATACAGACCTTCCCAACAGACACCCTTTTGGGTCCGTAGACTCTCAGGGAGCCTCCTGATGAATTGTAACGATACGCACATCTGCAGGTAAATCAACCTGAGCCACATCTATCTATCTATCTATCTATCTATCTATCTATCTATCTATCTATCTATCTTCCTTCCTTCCTTCCTTCCTTCCTTCCTTCCTTCCTTCCTTCCTTCTCTTTCTTTTTAATGTTTTATTTATTTCTGAGAGAGAGACAGCATGAGCAGGGGAGGGCCAGAGAGAGAGGGAGACAGAGGATCCAAAGCAGGCTCCAGGCTAAGAGCTGGCCGTCAGCACAGAGCCCAACGCGGAGCTCAAACCCACGAACCGTGAGATCATGACCTCAGCTGAAGTTGGCGCTCAACCGACTGAGCCACCCAGGTGCCCCCTGAGCCGCATGTTTGATCCCTGGGCTACACACCCAGTTTCCTTCATGGAGGAAGGTTATAGCTGAGGTTATAGAGTCCTATAGTTGAGGACTTTGCTGTTGTCACAAGGGGAAATATAAAACGAATATGAAATAGAACAGATAGGAGTGAATGAATGAATGAATAAATGCAGGCAGGCAGTAGGCGTTGCCCGGAGCATTCGTGAACAGATTAGTCGCTCATGGAATTTCCCTGCAGTCAGCTTTTGGAAGCCTGAAAACATTTTTGATCTTTATCTCTTTAAGGAATATGTCAAAAAAAAAAAAAAAAAATCAACCCCAACCACTATTTTTTTTTAGTTGATTCCTGAATGTGTGATAAGGAACACGATTCCTTATAAGAAACACGATTCCTTGAGGGAGAAAACTGATTCAGGTTAAATTCTTGTGGAAAGCCTTACAGCCCTGCGTCGTCCGGCTCTGATGTAGCAAGAATGTAAATAGCTCGGGATTTTGACCTACCTCATATATTTACCGATGTAAAACATTCTGTCCTCATGCAAGAAAAAGGGAGGGGGGAGAAAGAACCAGCCTCAGGTTATGAATGTCAGTATTGTCACCGTGTGTGCTGTGTGTGGCTCAATCGTAGAGCAAGAGACATTGTTAAGAAAGGTTGTAAGGTAGGGAAAGCACTGAGGCTCGTGTTGAGTTGATTAGAGATAAATAGATCTATATTCACCATATAAGGTAATAAAGGAAAAGCCTGCACAAATGCTCTCGACATTTATGGACTTCTCTATGATTCATCTAGCAGGACCAACAGCGCTGGCCAAGAGATATAGAATTCGTTAAGCTGCATCTCTTTCCTGAGTTGTTTTGCTACAAAGAAGCAGTGCTGGGTATTGAGAAGAAAATTCCAGAACCGTGTAAAAGTTAGCATTTGGTAACAGGCCTGAGCAGGATTGCTAGAGGAATTCCAGAAGGGTTGTAAAGCCACTTGTTTTTTTTGTTTGTTTGTTTGTTTGTTTGTTTAAATATTTTTATGTATTTCTAGGAGATTATGTATTTCTAGGAGAGAGAGAGACAGCATGAGCAGGGGAGGGTCAGAGAGAGAGGGAGATACAGACTCAGAAACAGGCTCCAGGCTCTGAGCTGGCAGTCAGCACAGAGCCCGACACGGGGCTCAAACCCACGAACCGCGAGATCATGACCTAAGCGAAAGTCGGACGCTTAACCGACTAAGCCACCCAGGCGCCCCTAAAGCCACTTGTTGAGCAGAGGTATAATCATCCTCTAAGCATTAGCCATTTTCTGTAGACCGGGGTTCAGGTACCCAGTGTATTTTGTGTGGCCGGTCACCCTCCGTCCCACACCAGGACGGGAGGGCTCTGCTTTTCTCCCTGAGTGACTCAAGATGCACACTCTTCGGTTTTAAACTCTTCTGGAGTTTGGTGTAAATCGTGGCTCCATTTCCAGGGCCAGGATTAAAAGTGAGCACCTTGCCCTGTTTCCTGAAGTCTAGCGGTTTCCGAGCTGAGTCTGGGTTTTGCTGTCCAGGTCCTGGCACTTCCTGGGCAGTAGGTCTGGAAGAAACCAAATTCTTTGCCCTTCGTGGTGGGTTGCCGTCACAAATGGCTTTTTAGAATCTGCATTTACGGCACCGCAAGGGGACACATCCCAGAGGGACACAAGGTAGGCCCTTGGCTCCCCCGAAATACCGCCTTTCTCTGCCCAGATTTCCCGTGAAATGTGCTAATTTTGAAATGGCTGCTCGGCCTAGGACTGCCGTGTTGGGTGTACACATCAGTAGTACCCAGCAGACTATTTTTTTTAGTGTTTTATTTATTTTTGAGAGAGCACAAACAGGGGAGGGGAAGAGAGAGAAAGGGAGACACAGAGTCTGAAGCAGGCTCCAGGCTCTGAGCTGTCAGCACAGAGCCCCACGTGGGGCTCGAACCCATTAACCGTGAGATCATGACCTGAGCCAAAGTCAGACACTTAACCGACTGAGCCCCCTCCCCCCAGGCGCCCCACCTTCTGAATAAGATTGGAAGACACTAAGGAGATGCTTCCTTGGTGCCTCAAAGGACGTCCTTTGGTGGCAGGATGGAGTTGAGTCTCCTTCCTGGAGCCGAGTGGTGCTATTCTGCCACATGTCGGATGCTGAAGTCTTGGGGGGGCGGGGGGGCAGGCTGAAAGTCTGTCTTTGCCCTGGAAGCTTTTGTTTCTCCTTAATTGCTTGGCTGAGGACATCTACTGGGAAGCCTCGGAGTGTCTTCAGACATCAAATCTGGTTCCAAAGGTACAAATTCCCTAGTTACCCACTGACTCACATGTGTTTCTCAGACTTGGTTTCCAGCAGTAGGATATGAACAATTCCATTTAGAAATTAGGAAATGATCGCTTCTCGGCCTTTTGGCTAAGATCAAGTGTAGAAATTAGGAAATGATGACCTACCTCTCCTATACCCTTGGCTCTGTCATCTTTTCCAAAAGTGAAAATAACCGTAAAGCCCCTGGTTTGATCCCACGTCTTTGGGGTCTTCCGGTTGCGTGGGGGTCACCAAGTACCTTGTTCTGCCACTAAAGAGCGGGACCCAGATGGAGGCCGCCTCTGTTGACCTGTGTGCATGTGAGCGAGTGTCTGAGGAAGCACTTACAGTGTGCTCTGTGCCCGCAAGTAGATTTTCTTGTCGTTTATTATTAATTATCCCTTTGAGCGGCTCTGTGAAGCAAGTAAATATTAATAACAATATGCACTGATTATTAAGATAGGATAAAGGCCTATCTTTTCCACGGTCCTTAATTTTAAGTAAGCCCGTTGCACACAAATGGCGAATAAATTGAAAGTAAGGCCTTCCAGTGGGGAAACAGTAAAACAGACCAGAACTGGGCAGAGGGGTGGTATGTTCGAGATCTGGTTTTAAATCTTCTCTGTCTCCTTTTGGCAAGGCCCGCCCTCATCCGGTGATTTGCCTGCTGGGTGCCGACGTCCCCTGTCTGGGACCCGTGGGTGGTGTGGGCCCTCCCTGCCCCTCTCGTGTTGGTTTGCGATGATGTTTTAAGTCTCCCCAATATTGTCTGAGATCTGTGACTTATGAGTGTTGATTATGGAAATTTGCATACAGCAGAAAGTAATAAATCACCCGTAATCCTAGATGTAAATGTTAGCATGTTGCTTCTAGATCTTTCCAGTCCTTGTTCATAAATATTACATATCCTGAGATAGTAAAGATCATGCCATACATCCTGCTCCGTAGCCCCGTTTTCTGCAAACCAGAGTGTTTTATGTACATGAAAAAATGTAAAGCAAATGATAGATCTGTAGATTTCCTGCTAACACTTACTGCACTTAGAAAATAATTTTTCCTTAGAGAAGTACGTGTAATTTGGCCATGTGTGAGCAGCATAGTAGTTTTTTTCTCCGTGGGCTGTGCATACACTGAATGACTCTTGGCCGCTCACTTGGCCACAGGGACATCACCGTGTCCAGAAACTGTGCTGTTGAGGAGCGGCGGAGGGTAAACCTTGAAAATTCCTCGTACTTTTAAAACTATTATTTGATCCCCATCTTCCATTTTCAAAAGAATGTTTTTACTGTGTAGAGGATACGAGGTATTGAAAGGCAAAGCAGTGACAGCTAAGCTGTAATCCCATTCATTTACTGCATCACATCGATGTAGTTCTTACCCTTTTCCCCCCAGACACACATGTATATGTACATTTATACATTTTTACACACTCGGGGGTCGTATTGTAAACCCATTTGTAGTCTGTGGCTTCTCTTCTTTCCCGACAGATCTGGGCTTGGTGCCCCTTTCTCAGAGGAGCGCCCCCTGCTGTCCCAGGCCAGGTTTGCCCTGTATGACACCGCCCTCCCACCCCTAGCCCCAGCGCCACGGGATTCCCCTTCACAGCACCAGTTTGACTAGTGTCTCCCTCCCACTGGACAACAGCCCTGGGTGATGCAGGAACCCGATGGCCTGGCTCATGGCTGAAGGAGCTCCTATAACGGCACCTGAGGGCCCGTCACAGACACCCAGCAAATATTTGGTGAATAAATCGCAATGCATTATTTAATGGTATTGACTATCCTTTGAAAGATACTTTCACCGATGCGCCGACACGCCACTGTATCGCTTTACTCAGATTTAACAAGTAACCCCTGGCCGCTGGCATCTGTATTATTTCTAATTTTTCTCTTTTCTAAACAGGACATGCTAAACATTCTTGTCCATAAATCTCAGCCTACGTTAGCGGTATCCTTATGGATAAATTCCCAGAAGTAGAAACACCAAACTGAGGGGTTAACCTACATTGTAATCCCAAGTAGCCCCTTTGTCTAAATGTCCAGAGGGTCTGAGGCCTGGTGTAAATTACACGGTGGGCATGTGTGTCCAAGTAGAGTCACGCCTCCTGGGTCCTTGGAGAGAGCCCCAGGGCACAAAGATACCTCTGGGGCAGGTCCCCTGCCTGGCACATGATCCGATAAAAGGTGAGTGTGTTGATAATGTGTCTGTGAAGACTATCTCCTCATTTTCTTACTCAGTCCACAGGCCTTACGCCGTCCGTGGCCCCAGGAGCAGACTTGGGGTGTGCACGGCCCCTCCACTGTCTGCTGGGGACCTAGACTCGGTTCATCTTTCACACAGAATATAAACCTCCTGGAGGCAGTGATGAGCACATTCGTGGCATGTTGTAAAGGCTTGAATAGTTTTTTAATGAGGTTCTTCACTTTGATGAACTCAAAACCCAGTGATGTGTAGACATGTAACAAATCACAGCAGCGTTTTCAAAGTTCTGAAATAAAACAAAGGATTTAGACATGAGCATTTATTCAGAAGTGACCTACAGGCAAACCAGAGGTGTTTAATTTTGTTTTAATGTTTTTATTCATTTCTGAGAGAGACTGCATGAGCAGGGGAGGGTCAGAGAGAGAGGGAGACATGGAATATGAAGCAGGCTCCAGGCTTTGAGCTGGCTGTCAGCACAGAGCCTGACACGGGGCTTGAACCCACGAACCATGAGATCATGACCTGAGCTGAAGTCAGACGCTTAACCGACTGAGCCACCCAGGTACCCCAAACCAGAGGTGTTTAGAGTACTGGCTGGAGAAACCTCAGGTGGCCTCTTCCCACAGCCACCGAAAGCCCTGGCAGTCAGTCCCTGTGCCGCAGGCAGGGCACGCGCCAGCCCAGGCTGTGACAGCCGGCGCCTCCAAGCCCTCAGGCTCGGGGACGCTGAAAGAAGAGCTGGGGGAGGGTTTCGGGGCCCAGAGGCGGCTGGCCGGCCAGGCTGGTTCCTGGGACGCCAGCAGGTCCTCAGGCAGTCTTGACATACCGGCGGCAACAGGCACGTCTCTTGCCCAGGACTGGAAACCATGTTTGGGGGGCTGCCGTTCCCCAAACATGTTGAATCTAGGCACCGTCCTTAGCCCTTATCACCTTAGATCCAAGTTCAAGCAGACCAGTCTGATAAACCTGCCATTTCTCATCATCGAAAGAGGCTTCCGAAAGAAGAGCACCACCTGCTCTTGCCAGGGGCCCAGCGGTGCCCCCTCCGCCTTCCTGTACCCGCCGCTGGCCCTCAGCGCTCCCCACCAGGACCCCTCCGATCGAGCCCCGCGGACGCTCCCCTGCAGCTCCACGGAGCTGGGCCTTCCCATTACGCGGTTTTATTAGGCACAGTGCTGAAGGCATATCCATCAGTGTTAGAGATTGTTTGCCAAGATACAGAACATGTTTTAAATGGAGCAAAGAAATTTAAATGGGAAGAAATTATAGCATGAGTGAGTTTATCCCTTTCAAGATAATCTCATTTAATAACCAAAAAACTCACAAAAATGTGCATTTTATCCAGCTACAAAGGGAGCGTGGAAGGTTGTATATTGAGGTAATTACATGTTTGGGGTTCCATTCCCTTCTTTAAACTAGATTTCTATTATTTCAGAAAATCAGCCACTGTAGAAAAGGACTATTCATTTATTTCATTGCTGGGTGGCCCATACGCTGTAAAAATAGGTCAAGAACAGTAATCTAAATTGACTGCTGATAAATAATTAAAGCTAATGGAATTTTCTCAAATCTGTGAACTACAATCTTTGAGAAGTTGCCAGGACACAGTGTCTGCTGTTGTATAGAAAGATATTTTTTATTTAACACTTCGGTTTAAATGCCATTTAACATTACCTTTTTCTCTCACAAAGATGGGAGGGAGTAGCGTTCATCCCTAAAAGTCACCAAAAGTAGGGTGCCTTGTCGATAGCTGCGTGATTCACCTTCCGATGATGAGTTGGGAAGCCAGGGTTTCAAAATCGCGGCCCAGAGAGGAACTTCCCCCTTCACTGAGCTGTATTTTAAGTTGAGCTCGACAATCTGTGCGTTGGACCGTATACGTCCCTGGGCTGTGCTCCCTGGGCTGTGCTCTGCTGTACGCGGTAAGGGAGAAATTCCTTAAATCTAAGTGGTGTCCAGGGAAATAAGGGCCAAGAACACTTTTTCTCTTACAGATAATTACCATTCTTTCATTAGTGCCACCAGGACCTTAAAAAAATACACTGGACAAAGACTTATAGGTGTTATTCGTAGAAGCGATGGCTTATCGATACAGATGCAGACTGCTCTGTGACCATCCATAAGGCCAGCCTTTGGCGTGGTATGTACACCACGTGTACGAAATTTGCTGATGAGGATGATTCAGGCATCATCAGGATATGTTAGAACCCGAAGACCTTAGAAGAAAGAATCCGTAACCCAGTGTTTTTGAATAGTCTGTCTTCAGCATTTTGGCTTTAAGAGGTAGAAAAGAGACCCTATTTTCTCCATTCGGTCGGATGAGGATCTCGGTTGGAAAAAAGAAAATCACCCAGTTTCTGATTGCTTCTCAGCAATGCTGTGGTTCTGTTAACCTGAAGAGTTTTTATCTAACCTAATGTATTTACTATGTGTCAATGTATTTTTTTAAATTTTTTAATGTTTTATTTCTGAGAGAGAGAGAGAGAGAGAGAGAGACAGCGTGAGCAGGGGACGGTCAGAGAGAGAGGGAGACACAGAATCTGAAGGAGGCTCCAGGCTCTGAGCTAGCTGTCAGCACAGAGCCCGACATGGGGCCTGAACCCACAAACCGTGAGATCATGACCTGAGCCAAAGTCGGCCGCTTAACCATCTGAGCCACCCGGGGGCCCCAGTGACATCAGATTTATAAGCAACACTTTTTTCCTTGATGTGGCATAAAATCGTGGCATATCTTAACGTGTGGTGATACCACATTTTATGAACTCTGCCCTATATTGAATATATACCTAAAGCATTTTCAAGTCAGAATTTTCTCCCTTGGAGGCCTGAGCAGGCAAGGGGCAACAGGGGGTTAGTAAACTCATTTGGAGATCACTTTTTCAGCCCCAGATGATTGTGTAACATGCAGTCACCTGATGCATAAGCATTTCTAGGGTTTTCAGTGCAAGCCAGTCACTTACCTTAGCCTGACTTCTATCACGGGTTAACCCCCCTCCCACCCTTCACCATCCAAACACGGCAAGCAAATGTAGACCGAAATAGGGGTGCCCGGGTGGCTCAGTTGGTTAAGTGCCCGACTTCAGCTCAGGTCATGATCTCATTGTTCTTGGGCTTGAGCCCCGTGTCGGGCTCTGTGCTGACAGCTCAGAGCCTGGAGCCTGCTTCAGATTCTATGTCTCCCTCTCTCTACCCTTCCCCCTCTCACACTTGTCTGTCTCTCTCAAAAATAAAAATAAACATCAAAAAAAAATTTTTTTTAACGTGAACTGAGCAGAGAGGGAAGAATGGCGAGTGGCCCTGGGCCGAGGTGGCTCTGAACCAGTCGCCCAAGGGCAGCCACTGCTGCTACCAGCTGGGACCCTGACAGATCCTGTGACGGCCCTGGTCCAGCCCCCCAGAGGTGACCTGGCCCAGCACCTCCACCGGCCCACCCCGCCCCCATGCCCAGTACTCCTGGGAAGGCCGTGTTGTCCCCAGAGAAGACAGGACCCACTCTTCGGCCGCCGCCACCACAGAGGATGAGGTACCCCTGAGGGATGCAGCCAGACAGCTGTGAGTCTTACAATGTAGTTTCACAGAAGTGCATAGGAGTTACTCCTGCAGAGCAGAAGTGAAGGGGACATTGTATAGTGGAGCAAAACATCCTGAAAAATCAGGACTACAATATTTTGAAAATAGAAACCATTTTATGACAGAAGACGTGTTTGTGATTCACAGCCTCTTTCTGTTCAGCCATGACACCCAGGCTGTCCCCCTTCACCCGCTCGGCCTTCGAAGCCTAAACAGCTGTGTCCTGGGCACCATTCTCTCCTGGACACCGAGGTAGACCTAAGGGGCCACCGGCTCCCAATCTGTGGTACGAGATTCTGTGACGTGTCCGACCCTGGGAATGGTAGAGGTGTCAGGGGCTAGAGGGAATACCAGGCCGCATAGTGGGCACAGAGCCTTCCAGAAACTGTCCAGGTGCCCTGAATGGGCAGAAAGCCAACACTGCACACCGCATTTTGGGACGTCTTCCACTTGTACCTCACAAGTGGCGCAGCTGAGCGCCGCATGGTAGTTTACTTTGGTTTGGTTTTGGGCTTTTAAATCAGAGCGGTTTTCCCCAGGAATTGTCACGACACAGAAACCTCAAGCGCATTTTGCCAGTCAGCTTCCCGATCTAAAAAGTGAGCTGTGAACCCATGGCGTGGAGAACAACAAAAATCCTTTCCACCTAGAAGCGTGTCTCGATAAACATTGCTTATTATTTGGAACATACTCCAGGGAGAGAAGGTTGAAATGCGCCGTTTCTGGCTTTGCCAACAGACATCGATACTAATAATCTCAAGGACGTCACTGTCTGTATGTTAAGATGTCTGTTGCCTTTTGCTCCATGAATGGTACAGAATCAAAGCACATTGAAAACGGCACCGCAAAGCCTGTCACAGGATTAAGTGGGTGCCCCTAAACTATTAAGGTTTTGTTTTTTTTTAAATCTTTGTGTTAAATCCCAATTCTCAATTCATGCCAATATGATTTTCATTAGCCGGGTCCCCCCGCTCTTCTGTCCACAGTGGCAGAGAAGGGCATGTAGACACATGGACCAGGGCAGCAATGTCTGCAGTGCATGGCACTGTCCAGACAGCAAAGGGCGCCATGCTCTAAAAGGACAGTAAATCGTGTCATGCGGTTGCTAACCGACAGTGGTGCGGCTCAGCGGTCAGAAGCTAGCATCCTTGGCTGTGTCTCCTTCATTTAATACTGAAGCAGGGAGCATTTGCAGGTGGTAGGCTGGGGTAAGGGACTTCTCAAACTGCCAAAAGTAAAATTGGAGTGGGGGACTTTTTAGCTGCTCACTTGAAGTATGTAAGTCCCACCTGTGTGTGTATGGAGGGAATATGTAATGTTTTTCCCTAAAGCTCTTCGTGTGTTTTATTTTTTCCCCTGTGTTTGTTTATTTTGAGAGAGAATGAGTGCGAGCAGGGGAGGGAGAGAGAGAATCCCAAGCAGGCTCTGCGCCACCGGCACAGAACCTGATGTGGGGCTCGGTCCCATGCACCGTGAGATAGTGACCTGAGCCGAAATCAGGAGTTGGACGCTTAACTGGCTGAGCCACGCAGGCCAGTGGCTGTTGAAATACGGGTACGTGCGTGAGTGCCGACCACACTTGAGCTTTAATCTCTAAGAGATTCTTTGAGCAAGTCTGTCATGCGAGGTGACTGCTCCCAAGAGAGAACTGTGAGGATACAGCGGTTGCTTCTAGCAAGGGCAGTGGGGAGGGCTTCATGGTCACGATGGGAGGCTCGGCCTTCCCAGAAGGCGGCGCCAGACCTCAGGAACACTCTGGTCCTCTCTTCTTCTCACAGCAGGTGTTTTTGTGAGGCGGGCCCAGCGCCAGGCTGGTGGCATTCGGGGTAGACTGAGGCAAGCCTAGGAAGAGGCACCGTTCTATGGGCGCGACTCCCAAAGTCTGGTGCCTGCACCAAGGTCGCTGTGGCCTCAGGTCTCCCTGCCTCTCTGTCCTTCACAGTCGTGTCAGAAGGCCGGCCCACCACCTTTCCCATTCTCTGACCCCGTCCAGTTTCACCATTTCCCCCCAGAGCGTGGGCCTATTATAAGGCTCTTGAGTGATACACGAGCCCCCCACTCCATGTCACTGTCCAGGTGGCCCCCAAATGTCATCCCTTTGCCCACCCGTGCCCAAGGCGATTGTTTCCTTTACAAAATCTCGTGGCACATGCCTTGGAGAGCTCGGGTCATGTCCGCCTCCCCGGCTGTGCCACCTTGGACAAGATTTCCTCCCCGTCTGAGCCTCAGGCGTCCTTATCTGTGAAGTGCAGGGGTCCGTCCCTTCCACCGGCAGGACCACTGTGAACAGCAGCGCTCCGTGCATAGCGCATGCTCAGTGAGAACTGTTGTCAACTCTGCCCGAGACCCGCTTCCCCCACCCCTCCCCACCTCTCTCCTTAGAGCTCAGAGCCCCAGCCCCTCAGCCCCTCACAGGTTGGCTTCCACCCCCAGCTCCGTTCAGGGGGCGCTCAGCGCTCCCGGGACCTCCCTGGCAGCCAGACCCAGCGCTTTCCTCGAGCCTCACGTCTGTGACGGCATCTGAGGGAAGCGAGCACCTTCTCTCTCCTGGGACCACCTCCTCCCCGTCTTCTGTTCTCCCTGCTCTCCTCCTGCTTCTCTCCATTCCCGTTCTTTCACCCCTGCCTCCAACCGGCTGAGAGGGGCCGCTGGCCAGCCTTGAGCCTCCTTCAAGGAGTGCCTCGGTTTGTGACTGGCCCTGGGCTGCTCCATGAGATGGGGGCGGGGGTGTGCACTGGACAGGCAGCCGGTCCACAGTGAGATGTGCCAAGGAGTAAAATGCCCCCCAGGTTTCAGAGGCTTAATATCAGAAGTATCATTCTCTATTAATAACTTGGATGTCGATGGTGCACGAAATGAAAATATTGGGGAGGTGTTCATTTCAACTGGTTCTCTTTGCTTTTTCAATATAGCTGTGGGGAATTCTAAGTCGCATTGGAGGTTGGCGCCGGCCTAGACTGTGGACCGGGCCCTGCGGCACGTGCCCTCCTGCATGCCTGGGTCTCATGCGCTCGGACACATTGTCCAGCCACTCGCTCTTTCGCTTCCTTGTGCACCCACGTCGTGTCTTTTGAGTCCTGCCTGTGTGCCAGGGCCGTGCCAGGGCCATGCCAGACACGCAGGAGACAGAGGTCAGCGCTCTGACAAATGCAGCCCGACATCCTGTCCGCTCTCTGGGCCACAACCAGGGCCACAGAGGGCGCCATGCGCACCAGGCCGGGCCGCCCCTGCCGCCCACCCCCTGGGCCCCGTGGAGCGGGACTGACCCCTGAATGTGACCTGCGTCCTCAGTCCAGCCTTTTTGTTTTGTTTTTTATTTACTTATTTTGAGAGAGCAAGCACGAGCGGGGCAGAGAGAAGGGGAGAGAGAGAGAGAATCCCAAGCAGGCTCTGCACTGTCAGTGCCAGGCCTGACATGGGGCTCGATCTCACGAACTGTGAGCTCATGACCTGAGCCATAATCAAGAGTTGGACTCTTTTTTTTTTTTAAATTTTTTAATGTTTTATTTATTTCTAGGAGAGAGTGAGAGAGAGAGACAGTGTGAGCAGGGGAGGGTCAGAGAGAGGGAGTCGCAGACTCTGAAACAGGCTCCAGGCTCTGAGCTGGCAGTCAGCACAGAGCCCGACACGGGGCTCGAACCCACGAACCGCGAGATCATGACCTAAGCGAAAGTCGGACGCTCAACCGACTAAGCCACCCGGGCGTCCCTAACCTTCTGGAGATTTCCCTGGCAAAGTATCATCCAGCCCCGCTTGGTGAGGGAGACGCGGATGTGGGACTGTGGGAGGGACTAAAACCCACTCCCTGCCCTCAAGCAGCCCTCAGTTCCGAGGGAAGAGGATGCACTCCTAGAATCACTCCTGCCCTTATGACTCACAGTGAGAAGCGACAAGAAACACAGCCTGTGACAGACGCAGGCCTGGCTGCCTGGCTTCTCCGGTATCCAGATCTAGACATGCTGAAAGTCTTAGGAGCCCCTCTCCGGAGTCCGAGGGCCAGCAGGTACGATCCAGCTGTCGGACCTGCAAAGCAGGCCCGCGGTCCTTCCCCAGGGCCTCCAGACTGCCTGCAGGTGGGGGCGGGGGCTCAGCCATCAGCCATAGCTCCCCGCAAAGCCAAGGGCCGTTCCAAGCCTGGGCCCTTGAGGGACCACGGTTCCCACCGACGGGCATAAGATAAGCATCACGTTGAAGTTCCCATCCCCGGACTGTTTCCATCTGGCTTGTACGTGTTAGATTAACGTGGCTTTGGGGCCTTTGAGAGGAAGCTTGGCTGCATGTGTGTGGAGGCGGAGCTTGCGTGCCGGCGCCGCTTCGGGAAAGTTCACCGGCTCTTCTTTACCTGCTAGGATGCGTACCCTAGCATCAGGCTGCTCGGTGAGCCTGCTGGAGACTATAGTTGCACCTCATGAGCCTGTTGCCTTCCTCAAAGTCAGCCTTTCTAGAAAACCTAACAGACACACTCCTTTCATCGTCCTGTGTCTGCAGTTTGTGACCAGAGCAGTGCTGTGGACCCGTCCTGCCCAGCTGTCCTGGCCCTAGGGGGAGGGAAGGGGACCAGCCCGGAGTCCCGGGCTCTCTCTGCCTCTACCCCGCTCTCCGTGTCACCCAGTGGCCCGCCCACAGCGAGCTGTCCACACCAGACCTTCGCGTCAGTACCTGTGGTCGCAGGTTTCTGCCAAAGAAGCGTGGCCCGTTCCTCGTGGGCACAACATAGGCTTTTACCCCTGACCCTGCCTGGGACCCAGTGGTGATCTCCCCTCGTTCTTCATCCTTTTTGTCCTCTGTGCCGTGTTCTTGAGAGAGGGACACTGGCCATGTGAGACGGGGCAGTGGCAGGGTCTCCTGTTGCTGCACCGCAGACTTACTGGCTCAGAACAGCAGAAACTCCTCGTGCAATAGGGCCGGAGGTCAGAAGGCCAAAATAGGTGTCGCTGGGCTGACGGCGGGTGTCGGCAGCTCTGTGTTCTCTCAGAAGCTCCGGGGAAAATCGTTCTCCAGGTGCCTGCAGCTTCCCAGGCAGCCTGCGCCTCTTAGCTTCCACCCCTGTGTCATTCTGACCCCCGCTTTCACCGTCACACCTCTCTGGCTCCCGCCCTCCTTCCTCCCTCCTGCCTCCGCCTCACTTGGGTCATCCAGGCACATCTCCCCAGCTCAGGGTCCCCGAGCTGAGTCCCTTTTCCCACATAACCTAATGGAGCCACGGGTCCCGGGGTTCCGGACGTGGGTGTCTCTGGGGGCCGTTACTGGGTCTAGCACAGATGGCCTCATTTATTTACTAAGAGCCTGGTAAAGAGTCTGATTGGTTTTGGTCATCGAATTTGGCATAAGAACATAGAGGGCGACGCGGGGGAGGAACAGAAGTACGGACTTCTGCACGGAAATATCAGCGTCACCCGGAGGAATGCAACTTACAGGAAGATGTGTAATTAAAAGGGAAACGGTGCTACTTCTCGATCAGATACTTTGATAGGGTTACAAGCCCACATAACGTGGGCTGGCTACATCGGCCAAGAGCTAACAGCACAGCCCCGTGTCACAGACTGCCCTGAGGGAGGTACTCCACATCTGTGGCCTCTGGCACCGAGCACTTGCAAGGTGGCTCCTGCAACCGAGGAACTGAATTTTTTTTTAAATGTTTATTTATTTCTGAGAGAGAGAGACCGCGTGAGTAGGGGAGGGGCAGAGAGAGAGGGAGACAGAATCTGAAGCAGGCTCCAGGCTCCAAGCGGTCAGCACAGAGCCGGACATGGGGCTCGACCTCACAGAAGTGATTTCATGACCTGAGCCAAAGTTGGACGCTGAACCGGCTGAGCCACCCAGATGCCCCGGAATTGAATTTTTTTAAGTTCAGTTGAGTTGAGTTACAGTTCAGCACAAATAGCTGGTGGCTGCCTGTTGGACGGCACAGGCGAGAGCAAGGGGTCCTGGCCTGGGCTCTCGGGGGGAGACTTTAGGAAGGCCACAGTGGAACTATCGGCCGGTTGTATCCCTGAGGAAAGCATCACCAGCTTTCCTCAGATTCTCAGAAGGCTTCACGACCCAAAACGGGTGAGGGCCCTGGTTCAGAGGAAAACCACCAAGGACCCCAGAGCGCAAAATACGTGGATCTGTTCTCCCTAAGAGCACACAGCTCGGCGATGAGTGAGGTGAGTTCAGAGCTAAAGATGGAAGGGCCCTTTGACTCAGGTGCTTGGCTAACAGAACACAGAATGCCTTTGGTCAGTTACCAGAGGAGCAAGCAGGTGTCCAACGTGCCCCTGTGTACACACGGCTGACAAGGATGGCTCACCTCGGGGGGCTGAGCAGGCCCATGGCTAGGGCTCCTTAGAGAATCCCAGCACCCCAGAGTGGGAGAGGCCAGACGCTCATCCCCACCCCTCTTGGGATGCATGAATTCCCTTCTCATCCACCTTCAAGTGATGCTTGAAAATCCTGATACCAGAGAAGGCTGTCTTCTATGCATTCAGATCGATTGAGGATAACTAAGTTTGCTAGAAAGCTTTTCCCTGAACGGTAATGGTGACGATACTCCTAAGAATAAAAGTTGTTCGTACTATTAAGTACTTACAGTGTGTCAGGAGCAGTACTACCCATGTGGATTACACTTGATCCCCTCTTTGGGGAAGACACTCTGACCCTTGAGCACAGGGAGATGGAAAAACTGGGCTTCGGGAGGTAGACTGGCATCCGGAGCTCCAAGAGATGGGGAGTGGCTGGGCCAGAATTTGGAATCCGGGCTCTGCCTTCTGCCTTCCATCTTCCGGGCCTGGTTCTGATCTAGGAGCTGTGGACTAACATCCAGACTCTTCCTTTGCCCGGTAGCACTCGTGTATTCGATGGCGGCCCGTCTCAGTGGCTTAGGAGTGGCGTGCACCCAGACGGCCATATTGAGAGCTGACTCATTAAAACCCTGCCTGCCTTCCCAGCCCAGATGCCACTTCTTCTGTGAAACTGCTCCTCACCTCCCTTAACCTGAATTTATCCATCCTCTATGTTTTCCCGTAGCACTGGGGCTCCTGACAATACTTGACCTTCTCTTGCGTTATGGGTTCATTGGCACGAGTCCAGTCCTTACAGTACGAGTCTGTGTCTGTTGGCGTGTGCGTAAGGCTTGGAACCTGGAAGTGCCTAGATACCTGGCTTTGGCCCAGACTTAATAAATCTGATCTGGCGCATAGATCGTGCTCAGTAAACACCCCAGATATCAGTGCCTCGTGTCATTTATTTGTCAATACAATTGACATAACATCGTGGGAATTGGAGGTGTCCGGTGCGTTGGTTCGGCACTTTTATACGTTGCCATGTGGTTGCTGCAATAGCGTTAGCTATCACCTTTATCACACCGCATGATTGTCATGTCTTTTTTGTGTTGAGAACAGTTCAGCGCTCATCTTCCCGCAGCTTTGAAGTTTACAATGCAGCAGTGTGACTGTGATCACTACGTTGTGCGTCAGCCAATTATTCATCTCAGAGAGAATGTTCTCAAGGAGATTCATACTGACTTGCCTCTGGGGTGTTCCTTTGTCTTAAAGTGTGGGCTGGTGGTTTGGTATGGAATTTCCACGGACCACATCAGACATGGCTTCAAAACACAGGTGTCCCCTAGTGAATGACAGAGCTCTAAGGTAATAGCTAAAATGCAAGATGGTGGCCCCAGATCCTTTTCAGACACCAGCAGGTCAGATCTACATTATAACTCCTGTTTTATGCTAAGCACATTATCTCAGACCGATACGAGCAAAACCCCGCGTCCCTAGCACAATGGGAATGAGGTGTCTATAACCTGGACGGGGTAGAAATAAAATCTAATGGCATTCTCAAGGAAGTTCATTTAGACGACGGCGCGCCGGTCGGCGTGATTTATGTCCTTCCAATGAAGGAAACGGACGGGGGAGGTTCCAAGATTGCTTTATCTAATGACAGTCATCAGTGAATTCAAAGCTGTTTTGATGGGAGGCCTTAACGAATGTTTCCCTTCTCTTTTTTCCCTCTGCAATGGCTGTTTCCTGACGCGCCCCTCTTGCTCCAGGATTTGCGCAAGCAGGTAGCCCCACTGCTGAAGAGCTTCCAGGGGGAGGTAAGCGTTTATGTTTATTTTATACCCTGAGCCGCCCTTCGTATAGTTCATTGTGCTTTCTTTTTATTCTCGTTAAGTCAATGCCATTGATAGAAGGGGCTGGCCCAGACAGAGCCTTCCCAGCTGCACTCACTCAACGTCATGTGAGTCTTGTGGTTCCCCATCTGATGTTTCCACTGGGTCCTCAGTTAAAGCCCACGTGGAAAGCGAAGCCGCATCTGCAATGGAGGAAGGTGTGGTGAATTCAGGGGTGAGGCGGCCTGCACGCTTGCACTTCCCATAGCGGACTGAGTTTGTCCACACTGCAGCCTTTGGGAGCCCACGCGTCCTCAGGCCCCGCAGTTCCAAGTGAGCCTGGGGCTGTGGCCGCCAGGAGGCCTCCCGGGTGGGAAGGATGCTGTGGGCAGTGCGGTGCTTTCACGCCCAGCTCCTGAGGGAAGAGGGATCTCACTTGCTGGAGGCTTGAAACAAAGAACAGCAGGCAAAGCCGTGAGGAGTCAGTTTGGACTCAGTATAAGGAAGGGCTTTCTATTGGGTCCTTTCAGAGAGGGACCGCGCCGTTGGGCAAGATGGCGGCCGGTCCTTACGGATGCGAGTGGCTGCGGTGGGTGACGCGCCAGCCCCTTCTCAGCCCTTTGTGTGGTCTTGGTGAATCTTCGAGCGCCAGGAGTTTTGTCCTGGTTGTGGAGTTTCCCGTTCCCGGCTTTTCGCTGCTCCCGTTGGAGTGATGGCAGCAGGAATAATCCTGAGCAGAGGGGACAAGACTGTGCAAAGCCCTCCAAAGAACCCAGATTGGTAGGATCTTGGGGATTCTCTTTTGTTGCAACCTCCTGAGGCCTAGAGTACAAGGGGGCGGGACCTGCGTGAGTGAGATGGCAGGTTCAGGTGTTAAGGGCATGGGGGGGGGGGCGGGTGGCCTGCCACTGGGTGGATTCCTCAGGTGACAGCAGAGGGCAGGGGAGCCGTGCGGTAGGCAGCGGGCGCCAAAGGTCTCGGGGGGAGGGACACGGCCGAGGCCCGTCTCTGCTCATTGTCTCCGGGCTCGGCTCCCTGAGGCTCAGGGGATAGCACTGTCCCCGGGCTGGAAAGACAAAAACTGCCTTTCCTCAGATTTGCATCGATCTGATCTCTCCCCTTACCTGTTCAGCAGCTTTCATGGGGCCCAGCGGCGAGTGTTTCTGCAGCCGCAGCAGCTCAGTTTTGGGGTGTCTGCCTGGTTTTCTTGCTTGCTGAAAAATTCCAAACCTGCCTAAAAATGGAAAGGTTGGCGCTTGCTGCCTTTTTGCCCCATTTACTCCCCCTGCCCTTCGGCTCAACATTTGAAAGCGAGCTTGCAGATAGCCCGGCTCTGTGCCCCTAAAAACACGCATGCTCGTGTCTCCTAAACGTGAGGTTTTTCCTGGGTATTAGCACAGTAACCCTGAGCAACACACGCGGGAAAGTAACACTCCATGATACCTCACATTTGGTCCCAAATCAATCCCAAACCAAATCAGCTGTTCCCAAAATGTCTTTTATAACTGCCCTGCCCCTGACCTGGGGTTCGGTCAGGTTCATGCATTGCACTTGGGGATGGGTGTGTGTGCGTGTGCGTGTGTGTGTGAGGGTACATCAGATACATATACACATATACTTACAAATACATACATACATACATGACTTTTAAGAGTTTAACACACTTAGGGCGCCTGGGTGGCTCAGTCGGTTAAGCATCTGACTTCAGCTCAGGTCATGATCTTGGGGTTCGTGAGTTCAAGTCCCGCATCGGGACAGCTCAGAGCCTGGAGAGCCTGGAGCCTGAAGATTCTGCGTCTCCCTCTCTCTCTGCCCCTTCCTTCTCCTGGCTGTCACTCACTCTCTCTCAAAAATAAAACCAACATTAAAAAAAATTTTCTTAAAGAGAATTTAACACACTTATTACAGATCACCCCACATTCTGAATGGGGTAATGGCTGTGGTTCTGGATATATTAACTTTGAAATGCCTGAGAGACATCCAGATTTCTTATCTGCCTGTTTTTTAAAAGGCTATTGGAAAAATAAACATTTTTATAGCACCGCTAATATTTACCAAGCCTCTGCTAATTGCTCTGTTTATATGAAATAATCTGTGCTTTCTAGTAAGCTAATTTGAGCAGAAAGGGCTAAATCCTACTTGTTTCTGAAGAAAGAACTTGCCTGATAGAGGGCAGCTATGGACGGGGACCGCACAGGCAAGGTCAGTTTTCTGAGGAGAGAGGCCGGAGGGCAGCGGGTCCTGGTGCTTCGATGGGGCGAGACCCACTGGCTTGTGTTTCTAAAGAACCGCCTTCTCCAGTCAGAGGCTTCTTTCGTATCCTTTGTCAGTGTCCACCGCACGCAGATTTATTCATTGGACACATTCTTTGAGTTTATCCCCAAGTGCTGGAGTTTCCCCTGGACCCGCGTATGGTGTCGGTGAGAAAATGTTCTTTGCCTTTGAATTTGTGTAGATGACTTCGCTGTTGGAGAGCCCCAAAAGAAAAAAAAGCAAAAACAAAGAACGAGATAAAGTGTTCAGACAGCAGGAAATTCGCGCATCCGTAATGCATTGGACCATCCTGGGAGCCGTTAGCTTGGCTGGGTACCGTGCACCCCCTACAGCGCTTCCTGGTGGTTCTCAGTGTAAATCGGGCACCTTCCTTCCCGTGGCTGATGAGACCCGCATGCTGGGGCAGCCACTTGTCTTTCTAGAGCCTTCTCACTCCTGATTGCTGGGTACCCACCATTCTGAGTTCCCGTCAGGCCCTGGAGCTTGGGGCATCCTTGCCAGCCTCCGGGCCTTGGCACGGGCCAGACTGCTTCCGCGCCTGCTGCCTCCCTTCAGTGTGGGCGCCACTTCCTTAAGGAAGGTGTTTCCCGAGCCCCAAATGACAGGCCAGGCCCCTCTACCATGCGCTCCCCTTGCACCCACACGGCTTGTGACACATTTGGCGTCATGCCTAAGCAACGCCTGAACCTTTGTCTTGTTCTCATTAGCCTGTGAAATGTGCGCCTGGGCTCGTGGGTTGCTGTTTCCCAGTGCCAGGCACAGCAGGAACTGAAAAGTTTTAAGGCTCTCAAAAATGGCTATGGAATAAATGAGCCCGTGAGGTTCCTTCGGAGGTGGTTTTTAAAACATTTTGTCTCCATCCCCGCAGCAGGTTGTGTTGTATTAATTAGGAGAAAGGGACGCCAGAAAGGCTGTTTGGAAAATACCTTTAAAAGAAACTGGGGGCGCCTGGGTGGCTCAGTAAAGCGTCCAACTCTTGATTTTGGCTCAGGTCATGATCTCACAGTTTGTGGGATCGAGCCCCATGTTGGGCTCCACACTGACGGCCCAGAGCCTCCTTGGGATTCTCTCTCCTCTCTCTTCCGCCCTCCCCTGCCTCTCCCTGGTACATTCTCCCTTTCTCTCAAAATGAATGAATAAACTTAAAAAAAAGAAAAGGAAAAAGAAACTAGTAAATAACTGTATTTATACAGCTGATTGAGTAGTAGGGAATACTATGGGTCGTAATGGTAACTCAAAGTTATTATAACAAAGTCCTCACATTTAACGCCCTGAAATTTGACTGATTGACTGCTATACCTTAATTTGTGTGTTTCACGAGCCTGGCCTACAGATCAGTGTTGGGAAGGGGAATAACTTAGATGGTCGATCCAGTTTAAGACTTATTTTAGTCTCGTAATTTCAGACAGTCCCTTCGGTGAAGTGACCCAGTCTTTAGGAAAGTGTGAAGTCTCGTAACTTGTCTCCCCTTCCCCTTGCTTTGCTCCCTGATGGGGGTCCTCGTATATAAAAGTTTGAGTGGGGAAGCAGTTGCCTTAGACCCTAACTCCTCTTGCTTAAGCTCAGTGTTCTCAGAGAAGAAAATCTTCCTAGGAAATAACTTAGGTACTTACATCAGAGAGGAAATGAAAGACTGAAAATTTATGAGCTCAGTGCCCAGCTTAAAAAGTTAGAAAAGTACAATAGAATAAACTCAAAGAAAACAGGAAGAAGGAAATAACAAATATAAATAATAATAAAAATATAATAATAATAATAATAAGAGGAAATGACCAAAGGGAAAAACAGCCCAAAGAGGCTACTACAGTAGACAACCCACCTTTCTTCCTAATCAAGAAAGAAAAGGTTAGTGATGGAAACAGGGATACTATTGCAGCTGTAGCAGATAATTCAAAAGACAGTAAGGGAATATTACAATCAATTTCATGCCAATAACATTTTAAAACCTTGACCAAATGGACACATTTCTGGAATACTAGAATGCACCAAAGCTGATCAAAGAAATAGAAACCTTGAGTAGCCTGGGGCGCCTGGGTGGCTTAGTCGGTTAAGCGTCCGACTTTCGCTTAGGTCATGATCTCGCGGTTCGTGGGTTCGAGCCCCGCGTCGGGCTCTGTGGTGACTGCCAGCTCAGAGCCTGGAGCCTGTTTCAGTCTGTGACTCCCTCTCTCTCTGACCCTCCCCTGCTCACACTGTCTCTCTCTCTCTCTCTCTCTCTCCTAGAAATAAATAAAACAAAACAAAACAAAACAAGAAACCTTGAGTAGCCCTATAACTATTACAGCAGTATTTCCATCAGGTATGGGCGCTTTTAGGGAGAGTCCTGTCCATCCCTCATAAAACAGACACATTCTAATCTTTTGCAGGCTCCTTTAGAAACTACAAAAAGAACACTTCCTAACTTTTTTTGTGAAGCTAGCGTCACCTTGATACCCAAACCAATAAAGAATAGTACAAGAAAAGGAAAATCAAAGTCCATTGTATTTGTAAATAGATATCCAGAAGCCCTTAAAAGCGTATTCACCAATGGAATCCGTTGAGCTCTGTGTATCTCAAGAATGCTGTTTGGTTTAACGTTAGAAAAATTTAGTAATGTATATTAATGTCATTAGCAGCTCAAAGAAAAAATCATGTTAATAGTTACAGGAAAAGAATTTGATAAAATTCAGCATCGATTCATGATTTAAAAAAAAAAACAAAACTACCAGTCA